CTGGAGCAAACAACTAACCAAGGACGGTTATAACACGTTGCAAGAATTCTTATTTTATCACGCTCGTGCGTATTGTTTTTTAATATTGTGTTGTGGAATTTCGGAAAACAAATTATTTCTTTCGTAAAATTTGAAACCCTACAAGATGGATAAACAAAAAGTCAAACAGCAAAACCTTTTAACCTTCTTTAGTAGAGGCAAGGACAATATTCAGAAGAAAATTAGTGATGGTGCCGAAAGTATGACAAGTGCTTCAAGTTTAGAAGAAACAAAGAAAAAGAAATATCCTGATACTTCGGAATGTGCAATACAAACCAAAAAGAGAACAGGAAACTTTGTTAGGCATTACGATAACGAATATTTAAAGCTTGGTTTTATTGTAGCCCCTGGCAGTGAACTATCGCCACCTGCCTTTGTGTGTAATATGTTCCGAAGTTCTTTCAAATGACGCTATGAAACCGTCCAAACTGGCTCCTCATTTGTATTCGAAGCATAGAGATTTCACTGATAAGCCACTGGACTTTTTTAAAAGATTACGTGACCAGATGAAACTTCAGAAAAGTCAAATGAAAACGATGACGACTAGTGACAAGTCGCTGCTTAAAGCGTCTTACTTAGTTGCTCTTCGAATAGCTAAAACGAAAAAACCGTTTACTATTGGTGAGGAGTTAGTACAGCCTTGCATCTTAGATGTCGTACAAGAAATTTTGGGTCCTCAAGCCACTAAAAAAGTAGAGGCTATACCGCTTTCGGACACCACTATTCAGAGGAGAATTGTTGACATGGCCATCGATATTGAAAAGCAAGTTGTAGAGGGGATAAAGAAATCGAGATGTTTCGCGATCCAACTTGATGAATCAACTGACGTGAGTAACCATGCTATCCTACTTTGCTTCGTGAGGTATAGTGAAGATAAAGACTTAAGGGAAGAACTTCTTTGTTGCCTTGATTTACCTGGACGGACCACTAGTTCAGAGATATTTAATACTCTTCAAGAGTATTTTCAAAAAAGCATCGACAGTCGGCATCATAATGCTCAAATTAAAGGATTAGAGTTATATCACAAAGGACTAAGTACAAATCAGAACCATCATAATTTAAGCAAATAAATGGAAGAGTAGAGAGTATAAAACGTTAAGGATTGTCATTCAAAGCGCTAATTAACGTAACATCAAAATAACCAATTACTACGCTTAAATATTGAACGGAAAGTTTCAGCGTTTCACACGAAGATAAAAATTCAACCGCAAATGATGTTTTAACATTTTACGCATTACGGACAAGTTAACTCGATTAGAAACACAATATTTTTGAATCAGCTTAAGATACAATTGATATATTAACAGTGAGTGAAAAAGTCTTTCCTGCCATTGTTATCGGTTACAGATAAGCTATCTGTAGCTTTATGCGAAGGTTTCTATAGAAGGTTATATAAAGTAAACAGGAAGGCATTTATGAAAACAAAAACAACGAAAATTATATAATGTATCAGTTTATGACAATATGAGCCACATAACGACACAGCAGTTCAAAACAACAAATGTCGTGGTTTATCAACGAGTCAAATTGAAAAAAAAAGTTTTATTTCGAACAGAGACAGACTTCATACAGAGAAACACAATTTAAATAGAATGATTTTACTTTAAAGATCGTAACGCAGTCCACAGAATACGACGTTTCTGAAGTTTCGGAAAGAACTATTCAATTAATTAATACTATTTTAATAATTAATACTATTTTAATTATCTTATTTTAAATACATTGTAATTTGACGGAATAACCAAATAATTTAATTTTAATTTAATAAATCACAATATGACGCAACTACACTATCTGATAATTAATACTAATAATCGCATATCACTGAAAAGCTTTATGTAAAATGTTGTTAAACATATGGCTTCCATTGTTGACACTTAACATTCAGCCCGCGCATGTTTTTTTTATACCGACCCTCCTGCAAAATAGTTTGATTTTAACTGCACTATATAGTCCTTTGCTAATTTTCATTCATTATAAGATGGTCGTGATGCAGGCCGAAAATAAAAATTGATTGTCCGAAAACATCGAACTCGGGGTTCTAGTAAAACCAACAACAGGAATAGATTACTTGAAAAGTTACTCTGTTGTATACTTCTAAAAGGATAGAAGGGAATGATCCAAAAGAATTCAGGTTCTAAACCACATTCTGCAAAGAACAGAAGGAAGGCAGGAATACGTAAAAAAATTCGACACGTAATATCGAATCCTCACGAACGGAACTAAGTTACACTGGTACAGGGTCTACATAAACAAAAAGTGTAACAACATAACAACACAAGAAAAGAGTAACCCACTTGTGTGCACCAGGGCCATTTATGCACGAAGTCCCTAAACTGCCAAACCAGCACGTGACAATTGGGTTTAATTATTTACGGTTTCGCAATAATTTTGTAAACATCTTATTAGGAATTAGCCTTCTTTTCCACATTTCAAACGTTTGCCTAAATCACTTCCCTCAAATGTCGACTTTTAAAGCGACGACAACAGGTCCACTGACACCCATGACTGCTCTTCAATGAAATACATCAGACATATCTTGTTGTAGTAGCATGAGATCATATTACAAAATAAATAAAACAGAGTTTCAAAAATAGCCTATTATTCTTTATTTTACTCTTTTATAACTGCCTTCATTCACAAAGGAAACGAATCCTCAATTTTAAACTGATTTCCAAATTCTTAAAAATTCTGAAACTTGATGGAAATGAGAGACAAACCCATCTTCGGAGCTGAAAATGGAGGCAGCACATTTCCCCGGAACATTGGTAGCTACACGGGGCAAAAAACCAAGAGAACATAATCATCACCAGCACCGCCGTGAAAGCCTCAGATCTCATACAGTATCACATTGCCCAAAGGGACTGACGGTCTAATGATACAAAGAATCTGGGGATAGTCGGCGTCGACCAAGAACCGAACCCGGAACGCAACGAATGCAAAGCAGAAGAATTTACTAGTTAAGATTGTGCGGTAGGTTACAGATCATTGTCAGTCGTTCCCTTTGTTGACCAATCAGATACAAGAATGTAACATTGCCGTCTTTATTTGCAGCCACATAACCTTCACTTTTCCTCTTTAGCCTTCAAATTATTTTCAAGAACACAGATATATTGACCCCTACGAGTGGAAAAATGCAAGAACTTGGTCACTATCTACAAAAGGTCACAAGGCAGAAAATATTATCGAAGCAAAAATGCGTACCGAAGTAATGTCCTCTATACAAACAGCTATTCAAGGCTGCCACATGGAAAGAATCTACAAGAAATAATAAAGTACAAAGCAGTAAAGCAATTGAATTTCCATTTCAGAATACGTCTTTTGAAATTTTACACACGCTTTCTCCATGGAGACAATTTACATAGACCTACTTTGAAGGACATGAGGTTCTTCAACCCAGAAGACAACAATCCATAGACCTAATTTCTTTGAAAATGCAAGAGTTCACTTACGACCATTTGCATTTTTTAGCATCAAAGCTGATACTGTATTCCGATGTAAAAAAGTTGTGAGTGTTTTAAAACTGTCATAAACTAATGCGTTCAAAATCAGTTACAAATAATAAAACGTAATTTATATCACAGAATACCAAACCACAAACTAGCCCGCAAAGGGCTTAGTATTTTCCGTTATGGCCCGTGCTCTAAAACGTTGAACATCCCCGGTGACAAGTACCAAGCACTCACATATTCGGAGTTTTTTCTCAGCCTTTCTGATGCTGTTGACACCCTATTCTCTAAGCATTCTGATACCGCGGACCCCTCGGGGTCCGCGGAACTCGTATTGAGAAACACTGCCACAGTTGCCACAAGCCGATGCATCTACGAATCTTTGTATAACAAGTCAATTAATTTTTATTCGTGTGCTGGACAATATCTAAAGAGGTCAACTGTAACCAAGAACTAGAAACAACAATA